GAGGCGCGGAGAGCGGTGATCTGACGAGCGGCGGCGCAGCTATCTTGATCGGAGCTCGGTGCGTGCTTGATTTCCTCCGGGTCTTGCTCAGGAAGGGTAGAATCCCACCTTCGTCGCCAATGAAACGTACTCGGAAACGTTGAGTGATTCAGCAGGGAGTACTTTATTAGAGCAAGAACAAGACAGAAGATCCCGGCACGCAGGCCGGTATAATAGGTTATTTACAGTGGCCGAGAGTCCCATTGGCTCTCGGCCACGGACCTGGCCCTCTGGTTGGTGCGGGCTAGGATTCGCTCCGCTATTGTTCTACAGGAACGAAGCTCTGGGGTTGTGCTTGACCGCATGGCCCAACAGTCGCGCACGTGGTAATGGCGGATACATTACAGTTCTAAACCCATGATTCTAAGACACCTCCTTATATAGTGGTTAGTATAAAATAGTGGGGAGACTGCACAAAGAAGTTCGTTCTCAGCAAGAAACACCCTTAGATCACGGTTTTTCTTTTCCCTTTGAAAACCAAATCAGACTCCCTAGAAACTCCCCAAGTTTTCTCAAACCCTAGAAGATTCTCTTTCTCTCAAGTATACTTAAATCCACTTTATATCTATGCATTACATTCAAGGGCTCATCTCCCGACTTTCTCTCAAATGGGCCAAGTGCTCATCAAACCGAATTCCAATTCACGACTACAAATCCCATAGTACATTTCGGGAAGGAGTTCATAGCATCTTCTTTATCGCAAATAAAGGCATTGCAATGCTGCCATTCAGCTCACAGAGGGAGCGCCAGCTTCTGTTAACGTGACTACATTCCCCACAGTGCAAAGCGATCAAGGGAAGAGAATGGGGTCCGCCCCTCGGCCGCCTCCCCCTCCCCGCCGGAGCGCCCGGATAAAGGTTCCGTTCCGTGCGCAGTGCGGTTCGGTGCGGCGCTGCTGACAGGGGACTGGGCGACCGAGCTTGGGGCCCGCGCGGTGACAGCAGCAGCCTGGCAGTGTCCGAGTCCCCGACGTGGTGGGGAGAGGACTCGGAGACGGACGCCCCGGAGGACGACATGTCGGGGAGCTGGGAAGTCTCCTCGGTCCGGGGCTCCGTCAGTGGAGGTGGCGGGTTAAGCCGCGAGCTGTGTCGGACGTTCGGGCACTACAACCGGCACTTGGGGCGGCTGCAGCACAATCTGCGCGACACCAAGAATTTCTTCCGCGACATCAAGTACTCCCAAGGGCTCGCCGTCTTCCCCATCTCTGGCACTGGGCCCGCCGGGGAGGAGCCGCCTCGACCACAGCCCGCCCCCTCATCCCTTGATACTAGTGCCCCTAGTGGTGGGGGTGCCTCCCTGCAAGCCGGTAAGGCACCCTGGGGGTAGGGGGCGTCGGGAGGAGGGGAGACCATCTGTGTTGGGCTTCCAGCTCCACGGTACGGCAGGGCGAACCCCCATCAGGGGCGGGTTTTGTCATCCCTGAAGCGGGAAAAGCCCACGCATGGCGGAATTCCCCCTCGTTAGGCAATCCGTGCAGCACCGGCCGGTGTATCCCGTATGGGTAGCCGTGTTTTTCCGTAACAGCGGCATTTTAAAAATTAACTAATTTATTCCAGCTGGATTCCCGTTTCACGTTTGGCTGCCAGTCTTGAGGAGCGCTGACTTTCCTGGGATGGGATGGGAGGGGGATCTGCAGCAGTTGAAGGGATGTAACTGATGGGAAGCTAATGTGTGATGGTGGGGATGTCTGGATTAACCGTTGGGAACCGGGTGTGTGTTTCGGCAGGTATGTGCTCTAGCAAGCTGGCCAAAACCAAGGAGAGAAGCGAGGGCCTAAGCGTTGCCTTTTTCCGTTAGGCTTGCCAAACATGCTGGTTTTGAATAGGAAGCTGTTGTGCCTTTGCGTGTGCGTGTTTGCATGAAGTTCTTCTCTGTCTCTCTTTTTAAGGAGGATAGCCAGTTTCCTTGGGGGCATGCTTGATGAGAGTGACACCACTGCCGCTTGACAATTGCATAGTCTGCTCTGCCGGCTCACCCGCTAGGCGAACTAGGCATTCACCTAGAGCGCCGGGCCCTGGATGGGGCGAGTGGCAGGCCCTGGATGGGGCACCAAAGTTCGCCTCCCCCCCCCAAAGCCCATGTGCTACCAAAGCGCGCCGCTGTTCGCCTCACCTGCTTCACCGCTGAAGCAGCCGCGTCCCCAGCCAGCCAGCCCGCCGTTCTCCCCATCACTCCTTGGCAAACAGAAGGGGAAGTCATGGAA